AGTACCTGTAGATAACTTAAATATATTTCTGTTTATCTAGTTAGGACTAGATGACTAGATTATCGTTAAAAACAGCAGCCACACCTTACTGTAAAGAAAGTGTCAGCACGTGTGTGAGTCATGCGATAATCTTTGTGCGCATGAGGAAAGTCCTGCTGCAATGGATTTATGGAATATTAAGTGTACATAGTAACATAAGCCATAAAAGAAGTAGTCTTGTAATACAAAACACATCTCACCTGATGGTGACTTTAAAGGCAGTGACTGCCTGACTTCACAGGAGCAGCCCAGGGGCTGGGAACTCGTGTGCTGGGCTCTGTGCTGGGAGAGCGACGCAGTCTGGGGTGCTGTCAGAGTGCTGCAGTGGGATTTGCAGGCTCTTCTCCTCTGCCGTGCCCTGCTGTAGGTGCCCCTGCCATGAGGATGTTGGGCAGAGCGGGGATTTTTTCTGCTGGATGTGTCCTGTGCTTCAGTTTGAAAGGCTTAAGCTGAAGCTGGTGTTTATGTAACCAAACAGGGAACTCCCAGAGATGAGTCCTTGGCTATCTCATGTGTTGATGCATCAGAAGGGCTTAAAGAAAGCCCAGCTTGTTGCTTGCTTGCACTGTAATTACATTGCTGGAATCCTGTGCTTCAGAGTTTCCCTGGCTGCCTGGGGGGGGCCAGGAGGGAATTTGCTTTCCCTGATGTATGATTTGGCCTGTGGAAGCCTTTTTTGTCACTGAGAAGCTGGAGACTGGCCGCAGCCAACTGTGGGATGTAGGCAAGGTGTACTGGGGTTCCTTTTACCACTACAGCCTCTCAGGTGCTGGCTGCGCCTTGCTCACATACCTGGGATTAAACTCATCGGCAGGTTGGGCTGAGGAAGGAGGTTTCCTAGTGGGTCGGTTCAGTAGGGGCTGCCGGAGGCATTCGTGTCCCCCAGCTTGCGAAGCGCGGCTTGCTCGGTGAGCTCATACTTTACCAGGTGCCTTCCGATGGCATGGGGGTGCCCCAGCGCCTTGTGCTGTGCCCACGCCTCGGGATTCTTCCTTCTCCTTTGGACAGAGAAACTCTTCGTCTGGTTTTGAGCTAACTCCACGCTTAGGGAGGAAGCTTGAATGAGTCTCCGCACGTTTCCAAGAAATCTCTGAGTCAAGGCTCCTCTGTTTCTGGAGAAGGCTTGCCTTCCCGGAAGGGCTCACACAGTGGTACACGGGTTGCGCTGGTGGCTCTGAGTCATCTGATGGCCTGGTTTGTTTTTTTTATTGTTACTTCTCTTACAGAACAGTTAAACTTCCAAAGCTTTTGGTAGAGTTAATGTTCCTGTACAGTGAATCCACCACAGTGCGTTGCAGAGGGAGGGGAGCCCACCTTGCCTGCACCAGCTGCTGCTGCTCCTTCCCACACCCCTGCCTTGCTCGGGATTTGCCCAGCCAACGTTCCCTGTAATCCCCCAGCCAGTGACTCCTCCACAGGCCTGGCTGATCCGAACTCCGCCTGTTCTCAGGGAAGCTTTTCCAATGGGAATTGAGTCTCTGTCCCTGGGAGCACTGATGACTCGGGTCTGAGCTGTCCCTAGCCAAGTTTGCCTGGAGAAGGCGTGTGGCAACGCTCCGGGATTGCTGCTTCTCGCAGTGATACCAACCTGCTTGTTCCCGTGCCAGAAGCCAGGCCATACTTGAGGTTTTACTCATTTAATATTAGCATTCATGTATGTTTTTAGGTCATGTCCAACAACGCTTCTCGTGAGCTGGAATTTGCGATGAGCCAGGCTTAAGTGTGAACTTTGATTAATTGTTACTGATAAAGACTGCCCAGCGTGTTGTTTAGATGGTAAGATGTGCAGCCTAATATTGCTCATTCGAATGAATTTTTTAGCTTTGTTTTTGCAAAAGCTGAGGCCAGCTCTGGGCTGTCACTGGTGATGGCTGAGTGGACGGGGCAGATGGAACAAGAGCCTTTGCACCGGCTCTCCAGCTTCGACTCAAATGCTGCAGCATTTGGCTTCCAGAAGAGAAAGCTGGGCAGAAATGCTGCTGCGTTGGGTGGCAGGTATTTTCCCATCCGGGGTGAGAGATAAATCGTCGAGTAGAGAGCAGTGCCGTGCTTCCCTGGGCAGCTGAGCACCCAGCGGGCCTGCTTGCGGTGCCACCTCTCTGCCGCGGAGGTTTTGAGCCTGATGACGAAGCCCGTGGGGAGCAGTGATTCATTTGTCCTGTGCGCACGCCCGAGCTGGCAGCCCTGCCTGCGACTCCCGCGCAGCCCCGTCTTGTTTCCACCTGCAGCGTTTCCAGGTCAGGAGCGACAGGCAGGTTTCAGGTCAGGGGTGCTGGTGGCAGGGTGAGCGGGAGCAGCCGCAGCACAGCTCCTTCGGTGGCCTGGGAGATGCTCCTGAGGCACCTGGGCTCACAGAGGCAGGCTTCCTTTACCAGTGCGAGCTCGTTGCTGAAGGAGCTTGTCCTCGATAGCCCTGAACTTCCAGCAGACACTGGTGGGCTCCGTCATCTGCTGCAGCTCCCCCCCGTTGCCATACTTGCAGAGACCAGTCGCTTGTAGCAGCGGGGTAGGACGCTTTGGGGTTCCCAGTCATCACACTAGAAAGTGTAAATACCAACTAATTTGGTTTGTCCCCTTGTTGCAAGATAAATCAACAGAAAGTGTTGCGGAGGTTGTATCAGCTGCTCCAGTGTCTTAGGTAGTTTCTGTGCTGCTGAGTAATCCTGTTAACGCCCCAAAGGTACTTTTTTTTTTTTCCTGCTCCAGCTATTAGCTGTGGCTGCTGGACTGCAGGACCTGCTGGTTCTTTAGTCTGAGATGAAAAGGTCGGTTTCCTCCTCTCTTGTTTTTCTTTGTTGTTATGCTGGGCACTGGAACATCATGCAGCAATTCGGGAATTAGACCATTTCCTTAAGCTACGTAATTAAAAGACATTACGCCTAGGTCTCCGAATTATTTGATTAATAATTCTATTAGAGTTGTAACTAGCACAGTAAGAAGCTTTAGACACTTCTCCAGTAAGATGTTTGATATATTGCATGCATCGCATTAAAATCGTTAAGTAATGAATTTTTGTGCTAGACTTGTGACTTCATTGTCTGTGTGAAAGAAACCATTTGTGTTACAGATGGTGGGACAGGGAGCGGGGGTGGTTTGATTCAGTTTGTGCAATTTGGGTTTTGAGGCTGGGGGCGGTGAACCCACCACATCAGTATCTGATGTCCCTGTCTCTAGGATGGAGTGCTTTAAGGGATAAGTGGGTTTGTTCTGGTTCTCTGCAGAAATGCTGGATGCTCTCTCTCTCGAGACTGATCCTGCTGATGTTAAAATGATTATTTTTTTTTTCAGTCTTAAGAATTGGAAAGTCCCGGCTGTCTGTGGGGCTGCCTGCAGACAGAGGCTTTGCTGCAGGGGCCGGGGGATGCTCTTTGCCCTTATGAGACTCACCACCTCTCATGGAAAGGTTCTAAATTCTCAACTTTGGGCTATTTTAAATCTCAGCTGTGCTGCAGTGTAACCAGTTTGTGTGCGGGACTCTGCTTACTGCTTATTTGTCTTCCCCTTATTGTGTGCGAGGAGGAAATCCTTGTGCGATGCAGTAATCCCTCTTGTGTGCTCTGAGCAAGCCTGTCCTGGGAGGGCTCAGCCGCGCCGGTGGCAGTAGCAGCAGGACGGTGGCAGTGGCAGCAGGACGTGGGGAAGCGGCTCATTTGCTGTTCGAATGCTGGAGTAGCAGAGATGCTGCCGGTGTCCCTTGAGCCGAGCCGCGCAAGGCTGGCGGGGCTCAGAGAAACCCAAAGTGCTCATGTGCGAACCCTCTGGGTGCTGCTGAGGGCCCCTGAGGGTTTTGGTGGCTCAGCTGCCCTCGGGGTGCAGCCTGAGCAGCCCGGACTGAGTAGGGAGATTGGGTGGACAGTGCCCCGAGTGGCACGGGATTGTCTCCAATAGTTGAGTACCCATTTATGTTGGTGGTGTTCTCGCTTGCTCTTACAAATATTCTGTGCTGCAGCTGCGATGCTGAAGTCAGTGAATGTCCTTTAAGCAGCGGTAGGGTTGGGACACCTCCGCTCGCTCTCAGCGCCGGGACGACTCATACCGAAAGTGCTGGCTAGCGGGTGAGCGGGCTGCTGCGCACTATCGGCACGGGTCTGCCTGGCTGGGGCGTCCTGTTTATCAAAGTATCGATAGCTTCAGTACTCTAATTGAGAAGGATCCTCAGCAGTCTTTGCAGATCCCCAGGGCCAGGTGATAATATCGCGTTGTGTTTTGGGTGGTGTTGGGCGTTTGGCTCCTGCACCCCAAATGTTCCTTTTGCATTTTTAAGTTGATCTAACTGGATAGTGGTAAAGTAAGCCAGCGTGGATTAACAAATGTGTAACGCGTGCAGTATCTGAGGGTTAAACTTGAAGCATTTCCACTTTTAAATGGGACCAGGTGAACTATTAAGCAGTGCTGAATTTGAATTGAGTTAGTTTGATTATTTTTTTAGAGGCTGAATATAAATTTTAAAGAGAAATTAAACTGCAGTGGGGATTTAATAAGAATAAAACTCAATGTATTCTCCTTTGCCTTTCATTCTGTTCAAGTCCAAACTTTAAGCGTTAACTCTTACTGTGATTAACAGTTGTTTCCGGTGGTGAAGATTTTGTTGTGGCACTATTGCTAACTTGGGTGTATTTAAAATACTGTTAAAAACAGGCAAGTTAGTACCGTGTGGTGGAGGTTAAAACGGAGAACATGTTTGTTTCTGCTCTGCAGGCCTGTCTTGCATCACAAAATGCCTTTTGAGACTGTTGACGCTTGTGTTTGTCTTGCTGCGCAGGGCCATGGTCTGTGACTCTTTGGGGCCTGAACTTCAAGAGCCCTTTTATTCTCTCACGTGATATCAGGAGCTTCAGGCCTTTTCTAAGCCAAAATAAACACAGATGTTTCAAGCTGCAGAACTTTTGGTGCATACCACGTTATCGTAATCAAGAATAATCCAGAACCACAGCATCAAGTGTATCTCGTTTCACATTACAGAGTCCTCGACCTTTCGACCATCCAGCCTTCTCCAAGGTGATGACTACTGTCTCCTGAGACGTTGGAAAACCTAGTTTGGAAGAAGAGTAAAGATACTGTAGATGCTGAACTACGTGAGTCCTCAGATTATTTTGTTTACGATAACGCCGTTTGCACCAGCAATTCCTATCCAGCTTGGATTGCACAACGGTCATTATCTCAGAGTTTCTGTGCAGTGGGGTTTCTCCAGTGGAAATCTTACTCATACATTTCCAGCAGGGATGATGATGTTGCAAGAAGTAGAGAATTTTATAAGGTACAATCAAATATTAGGTCAGGGATGCGGAATGAGCAGAACAAGGAGCGTGTGTGGCTCACAGCTTTGTTCTGTTCAGCTCGCTGGGCCAGGTGACACTTCTGTGTCGGAGATCTGAGTGGCTGGTAGGAGACGGTAGTGCAGGGATGCAAAGTCTGCTGCAAGACTTCGCAGCTTATCTCTGTTGTTATCTCTGATCTTGGTGACAGGTAGTGCTAGATGAATTAATGCAGTGAGATCACTCCTGTGTCCACAGAAAGGGTGGGACTGCCAGAGGGTAAACTTCATTCAAAGTGTGGTGATTTATCAGTCTCTTATGTGGTGAAACACTGGGACTTTTTAAAAACAAGTAAGTACAGCCCAAAAATATTTTCCCAGTCTGCTGTAGTAACCTCTTAGGGAAGACTACCAGGGCTTGGTTTTGACTTGCTCAGAGTAAGAAAATGGGTCTGTGTTTAGTTCCTCCTCTCCACCACCCCTCTCAAAAAAAGTAAAAATCTTTGAAATATTAGAGCACGAGCATTAATGTCTAGATATTTGTGGAAGTCTTTGAAACTCTTCCAAGAGGTAAAGGTGAAGAGGAGGTGTATTGGGAAGAAAATTGCGGTTTGATGGAGCGGATTTCTGCTCGTAGTGAGCATGCAGCGTGTGAAGGCTGGCCTGGCAGCAGACATAAGAAGTTCTG